CTAGTTCAGTTATCATGTTATCATTTCCTCCACATTGTACACATCGTCTTCAGCCACTTGATGTTGGTGTAAATGGGCCGTTGAAGACATACTGTGCCAAAGCTCAAGACAACTGGCTCCGGAACAATCCAGGAAAGACGATGTCTATATATGAATTACCAGGAATTCTGAAATATGCTTGGCCTTTAGCAGCAACTCCTACCAATATCATAAACTCATTTAAGAAGGCAGGAGTATGCCCCTTCGACCCTAACATATTCACGGACGAAGACTTCGCCCCATCTTTTGTGACGGATAGGCCAATGCCTAATGCTGACTTTCATCAGGAAACAGAGCTGAATGATCAGCCTGGGCCCTCTAATATTGAAAATTCACAACACATTGTGCGACAGTCCGTATCGTTTCCAGAACCATCTAATAACAAGTTATCGATGGAACCAGAACCGCAAACAATACCAACAACAGTAGATGATGTAACATTTTCTCCAGAATTAGTCAAGCCGTTCCCGAAAGCACCACCAAGATTGTCGACTACTTCTAGGCGACGCAAAAGAAAAACGGCTGTTCTTACAGACACACCCGAGAAAAATGCATTGGCAGAAGAACAGGCTAATAAGAAAAGAAAAAGAGATGAAGATCAGAATAAGGAAAACAAAGGAAACGGAACTGGAAAAGCCAAGGGAAAAAGCTCAGGAAAAGGCAGAATACAGGAAAAACGGAAAAGCGAAGTGAAAAGGCGAGTTCTTCAAGAAAGTGATAATGAAAAAGATGATTTAGAATGGTATTGTTTAATTTGCTACGATTCCTATTCAAATTCGAAACCCAGAGAGAAGTGGATTGAATGCATTATGTGCAAAAATTGGGCTCACTTAAATTGCTTAGAAAGAGATGACGTTGAAGTTTATATTTGCCCCAATTGCAATTCAGATGATGAGAATGATGAATAATCATGTTTTTTTGTGGTATTATTAGTATATAGGATTTTTTTAACGATTGCTTTTGTGTTTTGTTTTATTTCTGAAGTTGAGATATAATAAATGATTTCGAAAAACCAGTTGTCTTGTTCATTAATTATACGTTATTCGAACAAAAAGTAATACAAATGTGAGGGGAACAATCTGCCCCTATGACGGAACAACCAGCCCCTCGACGGGGCAGGTTGTGCCGCACCGAGTTGTCGAGATAAAATTGTTCTGTATGATGAGCTACTAATAATTCCCCACAAGTTATTATATAGTCTGATACTATGATAATGTATGTTTTATTACTGCTAAAGTTACAGAGATTGCACATCGTTTCGATATATTTTTTACTATACTCTGTTTTAAAACTAGGAGGAGCGAATTGAAAAGACGCATTTACACAGGGAAAAGTAACTAGATTTGTTACTAAGAGCGAGTTTCGAAATAAAGTCGTGTTCAAAATTTATTAAATAATTATCTTTATCGGCCTTACTCGGTGAACGGCCAATGAGCGGTTAAGAAACGAATAAATGTCATAGAAGTAATTTTTTAATTGGTCCCAGACAACAGTCGCAAATTTCACATTATTGTGATCTGAAATGTGTGTCTAAAACGAAATGTCACTGTCAAATTAAAGTCAATATGGTTGTTGATTGATGTCAGAAATACTTTTTTCTTGCTTTTGAAATCGACTTTTTGAGAATAACTATGATCTTTTTAAAATGGATATTAAATATTTAAGAAAATTGTTAATGGAATATCCAGATGTAGCCAGGTTAGTATAAAATATAAAGATCTGTTTACATTTTTAAGGATATTATTTGTTATAGGTATAAAAAGTAAAAGTTAATCAGTGAATGACAAGTGGATCACACAGTTACTGGTATCTCTTCTATGAGTAATGTGGATATTATGGCTTATTTAGTGTTAACCCATGGTTAATGCGCTAGAGGGCAAATAAAGGCATTCAAAAGTTTACAGGCCTATGAGTCAGAATTTGTTTTGAAAACTGGAACCAACATTTTCATAACACTACATGTCAACATATATTTTTTAAAGTGAACTATTCATACATACCTATGTATTAATTTTAAGTATTTTTAAAATATTTTTTGTGAAAGTAATGTTAACTCATTGTGCCAAATTAAGATTGTCCCTAAAGTAGTAGATGGTGTTTTAAATGTTATAACAATTTTGTAAATAGTTTTATTCTATTCTAATAAATAAAATTTGCTTGAATATTTATTTATGTTTTAATCATTTTGGTTAGAAATTCATCAATTTTTAGTTTTAAAAAATCAGTAATAAAATTATTTTTTTCTAAAATACTTTGGAATTCATCTCTTCATGGTAATCTCCCATCTTTTTACCTTCAAAAACCAATAATGCATTTTCTACAAAACCTTCAGAATCAGCATGTAAAATAATAAGGTATCTTCCCTTTCTTGTAAGGCTTTTCAAGAATTACTACCTTTAATAGTAGAAGTATCCATAATAGTAGATTTTTCAATACAATTGCTTACTGAATAACTATTATTTACGAAATAAAGTAAAAAACTGTAATGGATGAGATATCAAATTATAAAATGTCAGAACTGTCAACAATATCAATTATTAGCTGATGTTCATGCTAAAAAGTAATGTGTGAAACTGACTGTAATCTGACCAATCAGAAGGCTACAGAATTGCCAACTTAAATTCAAATCGCTTCTCTTAGTTTAAAAACAGAGTATAGTTCAATGAAAATCGGAACTTTCAACCCCGTCCTCCCCTAATCATGATTTTTTTCGACATCGATTTTTTGACGGATTTTTACATTTTGGGGTCCCCTGAATCCGTTTTGACTATTTTCGCGATGCTGTCTGTGTGTGTGTCTGTATACTCGATAACTTATGAACGGATAAACAGAAAAATACCAAATTTTAAAATTAAGTCTTATTCCGGCCTGCGGTGAACTGATTAGATTTTGAGCACAGTTGGCACTTGGGGGTACTTTATAGGGGGTCATTTTTATATTTTATGGAATATATTTGTTATTTACGGTTGTAGAAGAAAATTCTTTGTATAAAAGTTAATTCAAATAATATTTTCTACAATTTTTGTTATATACAAAATTTTGCTAAAATGGTTCGTATTCCAGAAATTTGACAAAATGTAAAAAATTCAAATTTTTATGAAAATTATTTATATAATAGTGGTTTGTGATACAATTTTCTATAATTCTTCTCTTGTACATAATTTCTCTAAAGTGGACCGAATTCGAGATATTTGATAATTAGTGTAAATTTAGAATTTTGAAGAAAACTCGAAAGCGGATAAAGAAAAAACATTATTTGTTAAATTGAAGCGTTATTCCGACCTGTGGTGAATTGATTAGATTTTGGACAAAGTCGGAACATCTGGGGACGGGGTTACTTTATGGGAGGTCGTTTTATATTTTATTGAATATATCTGTTATTTATGTTTGGCGAAGAAAATTCTTTAAATAAAAGTTACTTTTAATATTATTCTCTATAATTCTCACTTTTTACAATTTTTTCCATAAATGGACCGTATTCGAGAAATTTGATAAAAGGTGCAAATTCTGATTTTTAAGAAAATTGGTAAACTAAAAGTTGTTTGCAATATCGATCTCTATCATTTTTGTTTTTTACATTATTTCTCTAAAATGGACCGTAATAGAAAAACTGGAGGAAAAGTGTAAAATTAAATTTTTTCTGTGTTTTCATTTGCAGTGAATATATATATCGAAAAATGTTTCGAGTTAGATGTATGTGAATGTATATATTTAGTTTATCCTTTAAACATTTACAGAGTTACTGCAATAGGTTGTACAAAATAATCGGGAATAGCCTGTAATAACTAGATAGGAAAGTCATGTGTTGGACACATCAGATTTTTTCGTAAATGGTTAATTTAAGGTCAATAAAATGAATTATTACTATTACTTATTATTGACCGTCTTCACCGTCGTCAAACATGTTTTGCTTACAACTGTCAACAGTATCAATCGCTTCACTGCTTTTTAAATCATGATGGATAAATAATGGAGCGAATAGATGATGCTTTTATCCTTAAGGCCTACTTAAGCATAAAAGCATAATCTATTTGCGCCACCACAAACAAGAACAAAATGAAATTTAATAAACAAACTCAGTTGATCAACTGCTGGGTAACGTGTAATTACCTATAAAAATACTAAAAAAACACAAAACAAAACAATGATAACTAACAAATAAGCTCAGACTGGATGAACAAAGAACTACTTAATAATATACGAACCAAAATAGATTCAAATGTTTATATTACATTGTCCTAAAAGTTTTATTCTGGTTCATAATAGTATATTATTAAACGAACAATTTATGGCCATAAATTGCGAGTCTAATACTATACTTTGTCCACGACCATTATGGTTTCTTTATTAAATAAAAGTTAAGTGTAGAATGGAAAGTTTTTATTAAACATAGATAACTAACTGTTGTTTTTTCCACTTTTCAATTTTCGATTTTTTGATTTATCGATTTTTTGATTTTTCGATCTAGAAAATATCGTTATGAAAAGTATCGCCTATCTTTAGTTATCTACCGGAATGTGCCAGAATTACAAAAGCGTGAATTATCATAATTCACTCCGTGATATATGGGTACTATATGCTTTTAGTTAGGAGGTAGAATATTGATTTATTATTAAGTGGTCGTGGACAAAATTATTTAAATACGGTCCCTATAGGTTCGATATTCTAATGTTATAGTGTTTGTCTCGTCCGGCGGTACAATAAAATGTTACGAGCACTTTAGATTTGGGAGGGAGGGGACGCTTGTCGGGTCGCCGGAAAGTAGTTTACACAACTTGGCAAACAGGCAGGTATAATTCAACATTTGAATTATTTCGCAGAAGTGTATCTAATCGCCATCTATTGACAACTTAGTTAATTTGTAGTTTTTGTTATGAATTTCCTGTCGTGCAAATTCCGTCTTAATGTTTTCACTAAATTACAATAAAAGGAAAATTACAATATATTATTCATTATTTGTTTTATTTTTCTTTCTCCTGGAGCATAACCAGTCTAGCAGCCTCTTTTTTATAGTTTGCCTCCTCTAGGCGTACCTTATGCAGCTCCTCCAAGTGCTCCTTCTCTCTCTCTCTATTTACTGCACCTTGCCTGTGTTAATATGTTAATATTATTTGTTTCTTTATTTTTAGTTTTTTTTTGGGGTAGCTGATATATCTAAAATAAAAAATATATTAAAGTAAAAAAATTCATTGTAGACGTCGATTTCAACATTACTATGTTCTTACTACTTATATTTGATTATATTTGCAATAATAATTTCGACTTAAAACCATTTTCAAACTATAAAATATGAAACTATTTGTTTAGTTTTGCTACGTTCAAGATAATTGATAATAGTACATTATACACTTAGGTTGAGAAGTGACCTATTTACCGAAGGGCGTAGCGTCGAAGTATATAGGGTGTACCAATAAAAACTCCTAGGCCAGATATTTTGGTAAGTAATAGAGATATTTTAATTCTGTAAAAGCCAGTTCATAGCACACTAAGAGAGCTTCAAGTTTAGATATAAATAAATTTTAAATAGGTCAATATGTAGATGGCGCGGCGCTCAATATATATATATATTTTTTTTTTTTCGATAGGAGGATTTTTCTTATATAACGCATCTTGTAGAAATACATTTTTAAGCAGATTTTGATCTATAAACTAATTCGATAAATCTATCCATTTTTGATATACAGAGTGGGTTACTCAAAGCAGTTTTATCCTATTTTTCGGCATTAATCATTGGATTTTAAGAAAATGCCAAAACAGGTCGATTTTTATACCAAATTGAACACATTTTTACAATACAGACATCTGTCATGTCTCAACCCCTTCCCTTCCACTTCCCCAACCCCTTTAATTTTAAAAGGGAATGTACCATATATGACACATAATTGATAAGGTAATTTTATGAAGAAGTCAGAAATATGACTGTTTATTGCGATATTTTTAATTTTAGCGCCCTCTATCGGAATAAAGAAACCTGTATTAAAGAAACGTATTATAAAATGTGACACTTTATTTGAAACCTAATTTATTAACTAATTCAATGCACCAAATAACAATAATATAAATATTTCCATATTGCCCTTGCAACAAAATAAAGTTAGTCATAATGTTTAAAATAACACATGACTAATTTTCAAAATATTGAAAGTGCAATGGAGGATATTTATATTAATGTTATGTGATACATTGAATTAGTAATTAAATTTGCTATCAAATAAGGTGGCACACTTTATAATACTTAATACGTACAGTTTGTTATCCCGATAGAGGACAGTACAATTAAAAGTATCGCAATAAACAGTCTTATTTCTGAATTCCCCATTAAATTACCTTTTTAATGATGTACATGGTAGTGTCACTCTTTATGATACCTAATAATTTTTTATCCTGCTAGAGGGCGCAAAAATTTAAGTAACGCAATGTATAGACATATGTCTGAATCCCTCGTTAAATTACTATTTCAATGATGTTCATGGTAGGTATATTACCTAATTAAAATGAAGTTGTTGGAGAAGTGCAAAGGGAGGTGGTTGATACAAGATAGATGTCTGTATTTTAAAAATGTGTTCAATTTGGAATAAAAATCGACGTGTTTAAGCATTTTCTTAAAATCCAATGATTAATGCCGAAAAACAGGATGAAACTGTTTTAAGTGGGCTACTCTGTATATCAAAAATGGCTAGATTTATCGAATTAATTTATAGAACAAAACTGCTTAAAAATGCATTTTTTACAAGATGCGCTACACAAGAAAGATCGAAAAAAAAATATATTGAGCGCAGTGCCATCTACATATTGACCTATTTAAAATCAATTTATATCAAAACTGAAGCTCTCTTAGTACTCTGTGAACTGACTTTTACAGAATTAAAATATCGCTATTTCTTAGCAAAATGTCTGGCCCGGAGTTTTTATTGGTACACCCTGTATATAGATTTTTTTTACTACTAAGACTGATATATACCATATTTGATTACATTTTGATAAACCCAGTTTTAGTTATTTTATACTTATTTTTCAAATATTTCGAAATATCAAGTAGTCTGGGAGTTCAGTTGTCAAATTAACTAAATGAAACAAATGTAATTCAATTTTAAATGTCATTCTCCAGGAAATATGTTCATTATTTACCTAGGCTGAGAAATATTACTTTAGAAGAATGGAGTAAATAATGGTGATTTCTCATATTAGTAGTAAAAAAATATATATTTGTTCATAAAATTTGGGATAAATTAATTAATCAGTGGAACAGTAATTTTAAATACTGGTATTTTTTGGTACCTTCCGCATTTCCATTTAAAATTATACCATCGGAATCGTCCTTATTATTTATTTCAAATTCCAGGTGTGGTAGGAGATTATCTATTTCTGGTTGAGGGGGAGGTAGGGGTGGCGGTGATCCACCACCTGTTGTCATCAACTCACGCCTTTCCTCTGCTAGGTCGCCTTTTCTATGCCGTTTTAATTTGTCCCATAATCTTTTTAGTTGAATAATTGTTCTCTACAAACGTTTGTAAAAATGCACATAATACAAATTACCTTGATAAATACAAAATAAAGAAAAATATTTACGAAGGATTTATAATAATTATCAATACAACCTACCTGCTCAGTGGCCACAGCATTATAATCAGCAGCAATTTTCTGCCATGCCATTTTTTTTTTTTTTTCGATATTGTAGTTATCAGTTCTTTTATTTTCAATAATAGGATAACCTGCCAGGATTTGAATAAATGCGTCTTTGTCACTGATCTGTATTATTTTACTGGATAGGATATAGGCTATATTTAACATACTAAAAATCCGTTCCACCAAGGAGACCGGAAGTGCAACACTGCTGGCCGATTGGGGCAAATTATGGTGGGATCACATAACTGAATTTTGGGATAATTTGACATACCTAACCTATAATTTGATTAGTTTTCCTTCTTATTCTTCTTATATTCCTTTTGCGGGCAATGTCCTTCGGGATAATTCACCTATAATTTGATTTTTTTATGAAAGAAAATTGTTATTAATGAAATAATTAAAAAATTTATTTAAATGCACTTTTATTTCCGTATTTATTTTAACAATATTGTCGCTTGAACAAACTGAAGGAACTGCCCTAAAATCTGTTACAATTCTTAATCTTTTGAATACACATGGCTAAGGGCCATGTGTTGTTACATTTATTTCTTGGGCACAAAGAGTATCGTGTTTTAAATTAATTGTCTTTTATGGTTGACTGGTGGTTGACCCATTTATTATTTATTTATTAAAAACCCAAACAGGTTTTACAACCTTTTTATAAGGGTAGTAAGTACAATAAATATAATATTAATAAATGTTATAAATAGATAGTAGGTAGTACATGGTTTCGTTAAATATAATAATTACTTAAACTTATAAAAAAAAAAATAAATCCTTTTTATTAAGCTATAAGAAATAATGCGCCCTAAAAAACAAGAAAAGGAAAAAAGAGAAAAAAAAGAAAAACACATTATTTTTTTACATACTAAAATCTGCTATATATTCATTAATTATTTTTTTATATCTTTCAGGTGGTAGTGTCCAATCAATGTCTTTAATATTGTGTATCACATTTGCTAGTTTTAACATGGACTCAAGAGGGGAACAAACTGTCTGTCTTAATTTTCCAAACAAGAGTGGATATCTAGTAAACCTAGAAGGAACCTTAAAGGGAATTTTGTGTAGCAAACTACTTGAAGTGGATATATTATTTATGACTTTATACAAAAAAAGCATTATTGTTAGTATACGTCTGCTTGTTAATGAAATAATATTAAATTCTGCCCTTAATCTAGATGATCTTTGTATAATCTGGCCACACATGATATTTCCTGAAATACAAGTATCTAAGAAACTTGTTCTGGGTCTTTTCAATTGGCGCTAAATGTATTTGTGGTTGATCTCCCCAAACCAAACATCCAAACTCTAATTTAGGCTTAATTAACACATTATATAGAATTTTAATTGTTTTAATATAAAAATTGGTCTGTTTATAAATGAATCCCAGTGAACGATTTGCACTATTTACTAATTTATTAATATGTGATCCAAAACGAAATTGATTATCATATATTAAACCCAAATCCTTAACTTTATTCAATTTGTTTAAATTATCCAAACCGATTAGATAATCAAAATTTATGGTTAGTTTTTTACGAGAGATGAACATTATACAACATTTATTCACATTAAAGTTAAATTTGTTCTCAATACTCCACTTATGAATGTTATTAATATCCTTTTGCAATATTACGCAATCTCTAACTGTTTGTATTTTTTTAAACATCTTAAAATAGTCGGCAAATAATAAATAGTCCGAAAAATTAATGTATTCTGGAAGATCATTTATGAATAAAATAAAAAGTAATGGTCCTAAATTAGAACCTTGTGGCACCCCTGAGTTAGCATGAAACTTTCCGGATGTATTCCCATTATGCCTTACTATAAATTGTCTATCCTGAAGATAATTTTTGAAAAGCTCTAATAAATTACCCGACAACCCAAATTGATGTAATTTTGCTAGTAGTATATCATGGTTAACTCTGTCAAAAGCTTTCTGAAAGTCAGTATAAATTATGTCAAGCTGCCGCCTTTCCTCAAAAACTTGACTTACAGATTCACCGAATAATACTAGGTTTGTATTTATAGATCGCCCTGACATAAATCCATGTTGTTGATCGACTATGCTGTTTTTAACATGATTGTAAATTTTAACATACATAATTTGTTCAAAAACCTTAGATGGAGCACACATTAATGAAACACCCCTATAATTCTCAATATCTTTCTTACTGCCTGATTTATAAATTGGAGTGATCTTAGATAGTTTCCATTTGGTTGGAAAATACTTGGTTTTAATAATACAATTAAAAATATGAATTAGTGGCCTTTTCAACCACTCCTGGCAACCTTTTAAAATATATGGTGGAATTCCATCAACACCGGCGACCTTCTTTGGTTTCAGTTTCTTTATAGCAATGTCAAAATCTTTTGCGCTTACTTCAGAGAAATTCAAAACATCATGGTTATTAAAATATATTGATTAATGCATGTCGTATTTCGATTTTTCACTACTATAAACAGATGCAAAATATTCAGCAAACTTTTCGGCTGTTCCACTCGGCAATATCTTATTACCTTGAAAGTAAAATGACTCAACCCCACCCGTATTACTATTACTTTTATTAACAAAATTCCAAAAACAGTTAATGTCATTATGTATAGCTTGCTATGTTTTCGATGTTCAATATTTATTAAATATTTGAGTTTTCGCCTAGATTCCAAATATATATTATTATAATACTCTGATATATGTTTTAATTTTCTATAATTATTCTTATCTTTTAATAATTTTATGATTTCCGGTGTAAACCACTGTGGAAATTTATCATAATTTTTATAAGTTATATATTTTGGGACAGTTATATCAAATATATTGTAAATTTTTCTATACAAAATATCAAGAGCAATATCTACATTATTTTCATTTGTTACCTCGTCCCAAAGTATATCTCTCATCATTTCGCTCATTATGGTGTCACACTGGTGATAAATATGTCACTAAATAATATAGATGTTAACAAAATATAAAAATGGAAACGTGAAGCATATATTGTGTCGGCCAATTTTTCGGAACGTTTTTTAGGGGGCTATATCCTATCCAGTAAAATAATACAGATCAGTGGTCTTTGTCCCTGGTGAATATTTTAATGACTTTTGAACTGAATAATGCTAGAAAAATAAACTCAATACCAAATAATGTAACCTGTTTATTAAACTGAGCACGTCAGATTTGTGTCAAAAAATTGCGCATGTTAAAATAGTTGGCGATGGACCAGAACACAGAACGCGGAAATAACGACTAAGCAATAAAATTGGGGATCGCCTATACCTTTCAATATTTAAATGTATTATCAAAGGTAAATTTAATTTATTTTATTTCTAAATAATATTTAACTGTGTAATAATAAGCATTTGTATTTCTAAATACATAATATCTCTATTCACATTATATAATATCTAAATCTTGATCCATTTCTTAAAACTCAAAAAACAATGAACGAATACCAAAGTTTTTCCTATAAAAGAACATGAAAACTTGCGTGAAATGTTATGCCGGTGACAATCTCCAGCGGATCGCTGGCGATACGCCAAAATGAATCTCCGGCGAACCGCTGGCGACTGACTATGCATACGGCTGTTAGTCTCGTCACCTATGGCCGCGGTGATATTTACATCAGCTACAGCACCATCAGCTTCAGTCACACCAATTTCTCTATAGTAATCATGATAAATAGGTGGTATGTATTTTAAGAGCTCTGACAGATTGGCTATCTTTTTTGGATTAAGTGGAACTGGGCCATTATACTTAGGTTTTAAATCGCGCAGTGTAAGGTTGGCTGATATTCTTGCGCCTCTCTTACCAATATTGACCGATTTACAATCTTCATTCCAATATTCCTCCACAAACATTACATTCGGGGTATTTTGCTCAAACCTAATTGCACATAATTTACTAAAATTTAGCTTCTCTTTCTCGTCAGTTAAAGATTTTTTGACTATTTTTTGTTGTTGTAAGTCTTTAAACATTAGTATGTCGCGCTGTTCCAGGACGATAACTTTAAAGGGGTTAACCTTCTAGCTTTTTCAACGGCTCTATACCAGTCCTCGGGAACATAAACTTGTTTTAAATAGTGCCGCTTATATTTTTCTACCGAATCAAAATCGCGGTCAGATGTAAGATGCGGATGTCCAACGACCAGAAACCTATGCTCGACAGACTGAAAAATATTTTCTTTGACTATTTGCTGTCACAAACATACAGTTGTCCAGTTTTTATTCTGGCCGGCGCAGTTGTCGCTATATGCTATTAGTTTTTCATACTTTTTGGGGTTCTTCTTAAAATGTTTATAAAAAATGCTGCTGATCTCGTCGCTGCCACGTTTTGCCAAGTTTTGGAGCCACATGTACATGTATCCTACATCTTCCACGCAGTCATGTACACCTAGGTTATATATCCATGCTTTTCTCAAATAGAAAGGAGAACCAACTGATAAATTCGAAACAAGCAATGCTTGTTGCAAATCGAAGCTTAGAACAAGTGTATCTTTGTTCCGTTTCGCACTTTCAATTTCGTTTTTCAGGCTTTGTTGTAAGGCCGCAGCTCTACGTTGATGCAGCTCAAGTTGTGTTTTCAAAATATCAGCTGGCTTTCCTTTATCAACAGCACTTTGGATTTGGACATTCAAAAAGTCGCATGTTTGACACGTGTCGGTTTTAGGAAGTTTAAAACCTATGTTAAATTCGGTGCAAAAAACCTTTCTGTAGTAGCTCTGTTTCACAGGTTTTAAACCTTTACTCTTGCACCAATCCAAATAATAATCTTGGTAAAGCCCAGTAATGGATATATCGTGATCTATGTAAACTTTGTTTGAATTTTTTTTGCCTACTGTAATGACTGGTGTATTTAGGAATAGAGTTAATATGCAAAACAACATTGTCATGATCTACAGTGCTGATTTTATTTGCTCTGTTTTGATGCTTTCTACGACCATCATTTTTTGGAATAGTGGCGCCTTTGGCCATCTGCTCATATAGCAACTGGACCCTTATTTTTGAATTTTGTAACCCGTGAACGGAAAGAAATGCCTCTTTGCATACTTGCACGTCGACGCTATTTACTTTTACAAAATACTGTATGGAGACATTGCGCGAAGATACTTCCTTTTTTGTTTTCTTCGGGTAAGCTCGTTTTTTCGCAATAGACTTTATTTGGGAAAAGAGATAAATGTTTTGTTTTTCGTAATTACCCAGATTCCAAAAAGCGTTAAATATTTGAATTTCTTGTCCCATGAATTTCTCTTGACGTTTACATTTGCATGGAGGTCCAATTGCACGGTCAGGTACAAGTTTTTGTCGCTTACATACATATTCATGGCCCAAATTTCGCTTAATTTTTCTTTTGTTTCTTGCATGCCTTTCGGGATTTGATATGCGCCATCTTGAAGAGGTCCTTTTCTCTGGCGTAACAAGAATACATAGTTTATTTAAAATTTTGGGCAAACCATTTTCTGTTAAATCGTTTTCGGGCATATCGTTCTCGGGTAAAACAGCTTCAGGTTCCGCTGTGTGTGATGATTCGTGTTCCTAAAATGTAAAAAATTTCCACTAAACATAAAAATAATACTTTAATTTGAAACATGAAAGTAACAACAGCCCGAAATACTCGTATAAATAGGCATTATTTAAATTAAATAAAAAAACTTTTTGAAAAAATGAGCTCGTTTACTGTTTATTTTAACTCAAACACGAAAAAATCTTAGGAATCAACATTGAAATTATTGTCAAAAAATTTAAGTGCAACAAGGGGACAAGCCACAAACATGCTTGTAATAATAAAAATAAAACAAAATTACAATTTATTATATTTTGCTTTAACATACTTTAAGTTAAACAAAAGGTAAATAATGTCATTTGACGTTAAGAACTTCTGAGAAGAATGTTAAAAAAGAAATATTAACAAAAAATATATGCCACTTGTACTTGTGGTAATAAGGGGATAAGCCACAATAATAATTAACCTACCTGTCCTTCATCACTTAAGGATGTTTCACTTTCACTCTCCACATAATCTCTATCCTTAATACTATCATCCGAATCGAAATCTACCTCAGAATCTCCATCAAAATCTTTATAAACGAATTGTTTTTGCCGAGACGACGAAGGACGTGGTGTCGCCATGATGTAAACAATGTGGCTTGTACCGTTTTTGCAGTAAAAAAAACACATTTTCATTGTTAAAGCAACAACGATCCTATACTTCTGTGCCGCCATCTGTTGTCAGATAGGTTAAATTTTTATTTGACCAGTAAATTCGGCCTAGTAGATGCATGTGGTGCAGATATCGGGATTTTGATGAAAGTGTGGCTTGTACCGTTGTTGCTCTAAGGTCTTCATTTGAAGAAAGAGAGGAAAGATCCCACTACAAGGTCCTACATTAAAGGTAATAAGCTTTATGTGAATAATAAAGCTTTTACTGCTGCCGAGTTACAGGCAAGAGAGGGAAAAGGGGATAATACATCTCCAAGAAAACAAAACAGTGCACCTGCAACACCCACCATACGGACTACAAGTCAAGACGTACTTGAAGTTTCTTCAATCTTGCAGCAATAGAGGCAACGAGAGGAGCAACAACAGAGGCAGCCAGACAATAAAAACGAAAAGAAAACTGACAAGACACCTACAGGGGCAATTGACAAAAGAGCTGATCCAAAAGTTAAGATACAAATCGAAAATTTACAGAAAAGAACCCGAGCTGGTAGTAAATCTTAAATTATTATTATTTTTTCTCTAGTGTTAGATTCGTGCAATATTCAAGACGCCGCCACTGCCTAAGCGATACTTGGATATTGGATAGACACACATACGCACTCGACGAGTAGAAGACGGAAAAATCAAAAAGACACTTATGATTGACGTGGGTTCCTATGCACACGTTTGACGCTCTCTAAATTTTAATTAATAATTATTGTTAATAATTTTGTTGGTATTAATACATTTTATAAGAAGTAATTAAGTGTTTAATTTGGTGAATGTTTATATTTGAATAAAAGACGTATTATTTTATTAAGAGAATCCAGTGGCTTGAATAAAATATAAACTAATAATTATTAAAACAAAAACGATCAATTAAATCTGAAACTAGCATTTAATTTTTAAATTTGATTATTTTTCTCTTTTGTTTTTCCTAATCTGTAACCATAAAAAAGCAATATTGATCCCTATATTAATAATTATGATATAGAAATAGTAAAACCAATAGTTTTAAATGTATAATAGACATCACAAATAACAATTCCATTAAAAAATCGCAATTTAAGGTTTTTCATAAAAACATAAGGAGCATTCAAAAAAATTTTGATGAGCTAGTTCTATTAGGGGAAGGTTGCCTAAATTGAACCGCCACCTATATTGGACCACCATACTTTTCTCCGAAACTACGAAACCGAAAATTCACTTGACAACATGGTATCTTACTCCCGCCTAGAGACCTTGATTGATACCGAACTCAACTAGTTGGCGGCCAGCGCTTGGCGTGTGCAGCGAGAAGTCTTAATTTCTTCATTTTGATGTAAGAATTGCACTTCGTTCCTAAGCAAATAGAGTCACTGTCAATCCCTAAGGAAAAACTGATATCACCTGGTTATCAAGTAAGTTTTTCTTTATTTATTCCCCCTATTACCTAGTCATTGTTTTTTTATTTTTTTCTACGATGTAGTTTTGTAAAAACACGTGGTTGCCTAAAGTGGACCACCATGTGATTTCCGAAATTGGACCGGTCCAATTAAGAAATTTACAAAATACTTGTTTTATATTTAAATACACAAAAAAATAAACAAGAAATATTTCTACACAATTAAAAAATTTTTAGATCTGTTAAAAAGGTGAAAGTACCTATGATCCAATTTAGGAAACTAACAAAATTTTTTGCTTCTAGGATGTCTTCCGATGACAAAAAGGGCAAAAAACCATATGGACAGTGGTTTCTACAAGATATGAAAAAGCTATAAATGCTTATAAAGCGAAAAAATATGGACTCAATGAAACATGCCGAGTATTCAACAAAACAAAAGCGAAAGAAAGAAAAATGTTTAGCTGGAAAAAAGTGGTTCTACGGATTCATGCGACGACATCCTACCCTCACACTCTGACAACCGGAGTCCACATCCATAGCAAGATGCAAAGGATTTAATCGCGAAAATGTCTAATTTTTTTCGACATCTTGGAAAGAACGGTAGATGAAAATCAATTGACAGCTGCCCAAATTTTCAACGTGGATGAGTCGGGATTTTCGACGGTGGCAAAAAAGTGTCAGAAGATTTTAGCAGTAAAAGTAAAGCGCCAGGTCGGGACAATTGCAACTGGTGAGGGAGGGGTCAATTCTACGTTTGTTGTATGTGCAAGTGCTTCTGGAAAGTTCGTCGCCCCAATGATTATTTTCAAAAGAAAACGAGCAAATCCTGAATTGAAGACTGGTGCTCCACCCGATTGTCTGGTGGAAATCTCGGATAATGGGTACAAACATACTTGTGACCTGACTTAAACACTTTATAAAGTGTGTAAAACCATCAGTTAACAGCAGGGTTTTGCTTGTTTTTTGGACGGTCACAGAACACACTGAAAAAACCTCGAAGCCATTGAACTTGCAGGCGAAAATGGTGTTGTCATGTTACAACTCCCTAGCCATACGACCCACAGACTTCAGCCATTAGACGTGGCAGTTTTTAAACCCTTAGAATTATATTACACCGAGGCAAATGAAAAATGGCTGAGGTCTCATCCAGGATTAGCTGTCTCGCAATACCAGGTCGCACAGCTTCTTGGGGAAGCCTATTCCAGAGCTGCGGTTATGGCAAATGCTATGAACGGTTTCAGAAAATCTGGAATTTGGTCCGTTAATCGAAATGTTTTTTCAGACGTAGATTTTGCTCCTGCGGATGCGACTTCCGGTCTAAGTCTCATCAAGAAAGAGAAAGAATCTACTTCAAAAGCCAAAGCATCCTCTTGTTCGTCTGCGGCACAGCCCAAAGCCAATGATTCTAAAATAAGTGCGTCCACTTCATCAGAGGCTAATGCATCGACTTCGCGTGAACCTACGTCTAATGACATTGACAAAGAGTTACAAGTCACAGCAACTACTTCCACACCTAAGAGGTCCATCAAGCCCACGCCTAATGTCGAGGGTATAGGAGCAAAGGAGCCTAAGCGTCTGTCCGAGCCTTAAGAAGGGTCCTCTTCTGCTTTCAAAAATGTGTCCGTGTTAATCGAAGAAGTTCTGAGAAGCCCAATTGTAAAACAAGCCAAGAAAACATCTCGAGGGGCCCAGAAGGCACAGGTACTTACTGCAAGAAGTGTTAGCTGCTAAACAGGCATCTCCAGATAAGAAAAAACTGTAAAACGTAAAGTTCAGCTAGATTCTGGTACTACTAAGAAGGCAAAAGTAAATGAACGCGAGTGGTATTGCAAATTTTGTAACGAATGTGTCGTTGAAGACATGATCCAATGTCTGAATTGTAGAGACTGGGTACATGAATCATGTGCAAATGTACCTTCAAAGGAAATATTTATTTGTGATTTTTGCACTGGTGATTAGACTGACAGTTTTAAGCTTTTCGATATCGTGTTTATTTGTGTTTAACCCAATCATGATGTGTCTTTTGCACGCATGTTTTTTAAATTCTTATTAGTCGTTTATTTTATTTTTAACATGAATATTTTTAAACGTTTTCACAAAGTAAAAAAAATTGAAGAGTTTCCGAATAAATCTTATTTTTTTTGTGAAATAATTTTTTTTTAATTATTAGGACAATTTTATATGACCTTACTTGTTAAACAAATTTTTTATTGCATTAAATCACGTGATCCAATTTTGGAACCCGTAGGTCCAATTAAGAAAACCAGTTTCCCTTATTGAACCATTTGCAGAGGTTTTTTAAAACGGTTATAAAAAATAAAAGATTTCAAAACAAAATTCTGAAAAAATTCCTGCAAGTAGCCAACATCCCAATGGGTCCTAGGAAACAGTTAAAATATTAATTTTATGTTATCATTAGAAACTATGATAAGAAATCTAAAAATCGGTCCAATATAGGCAACCTTCCCCTAGATTTAAGGGACACCTTTATTTTGTGCCGTTATTAGTGCTATATTTTTAACTGTATAAAGAATGGAGTCTAGTTCGAGTTCTAGCAGTTCTTCATCTTCTGGAGAGGAAGAAATATTCTTAAACATAATTTTACCAGAACTTCAGATAAAAAAAGCCTAAAAATGAGAATTTTATAGAGAATGCTGTAACTCTGTTTACAGACGCTGAATTTATTACTCATTTTAGGCAAGTTTGAAAACAATTTAATTTAAAGTATACACCTTACATTTAATTTTCTTAAGAGGGTGCATATATATAATATATATAATTATTTTTAGGGTACCCCGAAATCTAATGATAGATCTGGCTGGAAAATTGGAGACGTCCGATTTTTATTCACATTACAAAATAGGGGTCCAGAAAATTTCTGCAGAAACGTTTAATGGTATTTTTGTGGTATGCAGGTCATGAAGCAGCTTCTTTTAGAGATGTTGCTGATCGATTTAACATTACGATTTTTAAATTACATGATATAATAAAAAATGTATCATTATTTTTATCAAATATGTCGGAAATTGTAATAAAATGGCCGAATGAGGAAGAAAAATTAACTATTCTAGAAGAGTTTGAAGCTATGGGGTTTCCAGGGGCCCTTGGAGTTATTGACGGTAGTCATGTCCGTATAGACACTCCTTCTGAAGATCCTGTTTCCTATTTTAATAGGAAGAAATTCTATTCTATACATGTAAGTACTTTTTAAAATGTGTAGAAATCAGACTTGTAAATCCAATTCCTATTGCTACTTATTAATTTTAAATTGAAACTTTTGTAAATGTAAAATGATACATGATAAATATTGCCATCAACCTATGCAATTAGGAACTATAAAACTATTTTTATCCAGTGATTTTAACATACGTTATGACGTCCCCCCAAGCTTAGACTTCAGTCAAATTTAACATGCTGTAACCTACTCCTATGTATAATAGAGTCAATAAACACAATTATAAAGATGTTACAGTATTTGTAAAACACTTTTACGATAAGCAATAAATTGAAATAACTTATTACCATTTTTTTAGCTTCAAGCTGTCTGCGACACCCAGAATAAAATAAGATACATTTTTATTGGTTACCATGGATCTGTACAAGATGCAAGAGTTTTTAGCAATTCCCCTTAGCTTCTACTCTGGAAGAAAAATGCAATGATAAATTTATTCTGGGAGATAGTGCTTACCCACTAAAAGTTAATTTTTTGAAGCCCTATCAAATAAAAGCAAACATGAGTGCAACAGAAATTAATTTTAATAAAAAATTAAGTCACTGCAGAATTTTGATAGAACATACATTTGGTATTTTGAAGCAAAGGTTTCGTCAGCTCTATCATCTGAAATTGCGAAATATTGAAAACATATGTCACTTTATAAGAGCATGCTGTGTTTTGCATAATCTTTGTCAGGACAATGTAATTGAGGATTTGGATATAGGAGAAAGCAATACTGCAGAAGTTAATGTAGAACTAGCCGATGAGGATAGTGACCGTGATGATGGCAATAGGGCACATAATGCTGTGGCTAAAGATCACAGAAATTATATTGCTAGTCTATTATTTCATACATAATTTTGAAAAATAAATGTTAAATAAATATAAATGAGTCAACTTAAGAAACATTATTTTCAAGCAGTCTTAGTCTTCGTTCCTTATTGTCTTCTTTTCTTTTTCTTAGCTCTAACTTTTCTCTTTCAATTGCCAATTTTTCTGTGTAATAATTCTTTAAATCGTTCTTCATTTCTATTAATATGTCATTACGCTTTTTATAGTAGGGTCTGTCTCTGTTCGTACTTGTTCTGTTTGTTCTTGTCCTCAAAGGCAAAACTACCTCAGGTAAAACTACTTCTGGTAACACTGCTTCAGGTAAAACCTCATTTAATTCAGCCGTTTCTGATTCATCTAAATGACTTGAGGACTCGGTGTTAATATTGTGAGTACTTTGAGAAATACTGGGGCCAGGTTGTGTAAAAACTTTATCTGATGATAATAAAATTGCAGGTTTAAATTTACCTTTTTATCAAATATTTCGTTGAAAATATTTTCATAAACGAATTCTTTTCTGCCCCTGCCCTTTTTCTTGTTATTATTCTCAACAAATTTCTTATAAGCTCGCTCTAGAACCTTATATTTGTTCTCAAATTTTGCAGGGCTTACAGTAATTTTATATTTATTAGACATTTCCCGGGCTATAATCTCCCATAGTTTTTTCATCGTTTTTATGTCTCCCTTTCCTACTTTTGGCTTGTTTAATTTGTATAAATTTAAAAGGGCATTTGTTCTTTCACTATTAAAATAGTTAAAATCCTCTTTTTCTAGGAAACACAAAAACTCGGATAATTCTATAATAAAATATTTATTATTAGTCCTGTGAATTTATTTGAATGAAAAATAGTTTACCCGTTTCATTTTGTGAATTTTCCATTGTTATTAAAAAAAATCCCATAATTAATATAGTGGGAATTCCTTGACAAATGTGTGACGTTATCTAGATATGATGTACAGCCAATCACAGTGACAGTTGTAAATTATGAAAAAAGAAAAATTTAATAAAATCCTGTTTGCGTTTCAAACGCTGTTATTGTTAATCCTGAAGTCCTAGATTTTATTTATTGCGCATCCAGTTCTGCGCATATTCAAAACAGTTTTAATCACAAAGCACATAGAGGTTCCACGTGAATGACCAAGGTCAAAACCGACAACTGACATTTTTTATGCTATTTGCTCCAAACTCTAGATGGGGCTACTGGTGAAATTATGATTTCTTACTCCATTTTTAAGCCTTATGGGAGAAAAACTTAACCAAAGACGTGACGTGTATTTATTTATGTTCTTGGTTAGTTTCATTTTTCCGTCTGATTTTAGTGATTTTTTGTTGCTTTGGCTTTTGGTTTCTGTTTATAGTTTCGTCTTTAGTTATTTGCAAAATTGTGATGTTTCGCTTTTTTATTTCCTACTGTGTTTTGCAATAATTTTGGTGCTACGTTGAAAACTTCGATAAAAACTTCATTGATTCACCATATATTCACCATGCATCTGCATCATAAAAAGACAAACGGGGACAACAACTAATTGATAATCAATTTATCACTGGACTAGATTCCGAAATCATTTTTCACATAAGAGAGTAATACCACCATCTGTATTTGGAAGGAAAATACCTATTTATCATTGAATGAATAGTTAAAAGGATTCACCTTTTAATACAATACCTATATTACATTTGTCCTCGGTTAAAAAGACATTTATAAAATATATAACTTTAGTATTAATAAAATGTAATATCCTAGTCTCTACTTCACATTTAAATTATTAAAAGGTATTTTAAAGATTTGAGATTATATATATATATATAAATATATATATATATATATATATATATATATATATATATATATATATATATATATATATATATATATATATATATATATATAGATTTATAGTTGTCACATACGAGACCCATAAATACATGTGCAAGATACTATTAGAGGCCCGGTTTTCACATGCGAGGCCCGAAAACGGGCCTCGCAGGTCAAACACGTGTAAATAGAGCTATTTTTCATCACCCAACCCCCCAAAACCACAATCTCATTTTTTTTTTTGGACTCATATGTAATGTGTATATCTCCTCTTATACGGTTTTTAGTTCATTATATTTCTTACTAGGGTGCACTCCGAGCGTTTTGTATATAATTTCTATTGCCAATGCGAGGCTCTCGTATATCCGTTAAATTTATTTATTTATTGTCAATTCCGAGTCCCTTAAATATGGCAACGTTGTTCGTGTGCTGAGGCCCTACTAGTTTTTCATAGCAGGTACATAAAATGTTGATGAATAGGATTTAACATCCCAGGCATCAGCTGTTGGAACCCAAAATAAATTTTACCATTACTTTTTATTGTAAGACTTTTAAGATAATTTGAAATTTTCTAGTTTTGTACAGAACACTAATATTTTAATATCTTTAATGTCTCAAATCTTGAGTAACGTTTAAATATGTTTCAAAAATGGATCTACTGAAATAGATACACAATTTTCTTTGTTTTGTAAATAGGGTTTTCAATAAATAACAAACTAAACCCCCAAGTTGATTCCATTACAAATAATTATCAAAAAAATAAAAACAGATAAAAATTATAATTGTTACCGTTGTTATAATTGTGTACCAAGGCCGTTAAGTTGATATTTTTTAACCGAATTGGAAATTTGCGTCCCTGGCCAAGCTGGTTAGACCAAAAATGATCGTACGGCCGAGGTGAATACAATATTTTTTTTAGGCGACCGTTTTATGTCGTGTTTTTTGCTTGCTATTGGTAGTTTGGTACAGGAGAGGGTTGAACAACATAAATATTTGTTCCGGTGGTATGAGCTCTCGTCTAACTTGTCAAATTTAAAATAATGTTTCACAGCGATGGAATTTTTAATTTGTTTCTGGAAATGAAATAATTTGCTTCTAGTCGTCTATAACAATAAATAAATCCTTTGCGCCGTCTAGTTTTGCTATTATCGATGTAAGAAAATATCTAAACTTACACCAAAACTCGACGATAAAAATGCTTAAAAAGGGTTTCAGAAGCGGCGCAAGGCGTGGGTGACGTGGGCCACCGTCTACGGCGTCGCGGCCTGAAGGTTCTCGCGCCTCAAAAGTTTAATGCAGCTGTCTTTAACTTATGAAAAATATTTATTCTCACATCTGACCTACCTATATGTAAGCAAAAATTATATAAAAGAATGTTAACTTTCAAACACTCTCTATTTTAACTTTAATATAAAAAACAACGAATAACGAATTATGCTATTGCGTTCAACTAAACGAATATATTTCATATCCATTCTAAGTAGTGAGAAGACTGCAAAAAAATTAAATCTACCAATCATAGTTCATATTTTAGACACCCAACCATTATTATTTTAACTCTGTCAAACTAATTGCCATTATATTTTTTGGTTATTAAGATTAAATATATATTAAAATGAAAGTTATTTTTGTGTAGAAACGATAAATAATATAATTTTTAGTATTATTTGGTTAACATTTTGAAAATTTTTATCAATCTTTATGAAACTAATTTAATTAAGAGTATTAAAACTAAAATCACAAAAGTGGCCGTGGAGGTGTGAGCAGAGCATTTGCTTTTCACGCGAATAGCTCGGGTTTGAATTCGTGCTCGAGACAATTTTTTTTAAGTTTATTTTAATTTATAAATTAATAAAATTCATTAATTATTTTAAAATTAATTATTTTGGCTTAACCTAAAATAATTTTTTAAATTTGTAGATTTTGTTAGTGGGTCGTAGAAAAAATATACTGTACGACTCAAGTTGATTGTCCATATCTACTCTTGTTGCACAAACTACAATTTTTACTAAGTAGGTATGCTACATTGGTAAAATCCTGTAAATGGCCACATATTCGCTTATTTTGTTTTCTGTTTGTATAAACAGATTTTGATGTGAGAATCCACTGATTGAAAGGAATAAATATTAAATAAAAAGTAAACCGGTCCATTGAACTAAAATAAGTAAAAAAAAATGGTTTTATGGTTAGAACCTTTAAAAGTTTTGCTCATTAAAGAGAAATATTTAAACTATTACGCACATATAGTATGTCAATTCAAAACTGCTTTTTGGCAATCGTTCTATGCAAGAATATTAAAAATAAACTACTTTATTTATAAAACAATATAATTATATTAAAAACTAAAAATCGAATTATTATATTTAACAAAACGTTCCGATTTGGTTTACTTTTTTTTATTCTCCTCTAATTATTTGATTCTAGAGGTGAAAAGTAAATCATTTAAAAGGTGCGTCTTTTGCGTTTTTGTTTGCGCTCTCTTTCTTTACGTTTCGCTTTTTTTTTCTTTTCTATTTCTTTCCTAAGACGTCCCCCTTTATATGATTTTTGACTTATTTTTGTATTTGTTTTTAAAAGCATCACCTTTAAAATTATTTAAAGTGGACTGTTCTCGAGTGGGTGAGAGTAGTGATTTCAAACCTTACGAATTTTATGAAGATTTACAAATAATGATCCTAAATTTACCTGATTTCAATAAAGGTGTAAAACAGCTGCTCCAATACATAATAGAAAATAAGTTGAAAGAAATGTATCCAAATATTTATATTGTTATTCAAATTTTGTTAACAGTACCAGTAAGTACAACTGCTGAAAGGAGCTTTTCAAAATTAAAATTAAAACTAATAAAAAATTAAGAAGTACAATGGGCCAGCAAAGACTTTAGCATTGTCAATTTTATCTATTGAAGCAGATATATAATCTGGATTATGGTACAAGAGTTCAGTAAAGCTAAAAGCAGGAAATTTATGTTTCTGTAATTCTTTACTGCTAGTAATAATTACTTAAAAATATTAGTTAAAGTCTGAGAGTTGTTAGCATTTTTTTTATACAAGTTTCAATGTTATTTATCTATATAAAATACGTCTTCTTGCGCCTCCAGAGGTCCTTGCAAAAATATATCTTGCCCACATAAAATTTAGGTCTTGCTCCGCCACTGAAGAGTTTTTTTATTGTTATAGACGTCTAGAAGTAAATTATTTTATTTTCAGCTAAGACGAAAAACTCCATCGATGTGAAACGTTATTTTGAATTTGACAGGTTAAACGACAGCTCCCACCACCGGGACACAGTACATGTTATTCACTGCCTCCCCCCTTCCATGTACCTAACTACAAAACACGACATGCCACTTTTAATATTTTTTTGACGATTGTGTTGTCATCTAGTTTTCTATAAAATGTGTTTCTAATAGATTTACAATAAAGATAAGACTTTTTAACCTTTAATTTTACTAGATATTAAATAATATTTTTTTAGTCTTGTACAAGAATTTATTCTTCCTATCTTCATCTTTTATATCCGTCTTCAACTTATTTGGAATAATAATTTGAAATCTGTAAAATATAGATACTTACCTCATTTGTAACGATTCCATCATTTTCATTTTTGTTAGTTTCAATTAAAAAAGGAACATTATCATTTTTTGAAATTAAAATGTTTTCATTTTTACCAATATTGTTACCTACATTAACATTGCCAATATTGTTTTCAACATAAATATTATTTTAAAACAAACATGACAAACATAATAAATAAAAAAAATCATCTTCAATGAAAATTCTTTATAATTTGTTATTAATCGATATAAATAATACATTTTCTTTACATTGTCACTTACGTCTTGAAGACTTTATGACGTAAAATTGACAGGCTGTAATAATGTATATGCTTTTTCAGTGCATCCAATCTCGTATACAAAATCGAAAATATCCAAATTTGATATTGATTCTAAACTATTCAAATACAGAGTCACTTTATTATCTGGTAAATTAATTAATTCTGAAGTAGGAACAAGCCATTCATCTTTCTATGACAATTTTTTATTTTTATTTTCATTCAAAAT